AGATGGAGTTTTCCCCTGTTTCTCAAGAGATGGGGCCAAGGAAAGGCCAGTGTGAGGACCGAGGTCCCCAGATCTCATGTGAAGCTGACACAGGCATTAGAAACCAAATGTTAACATTTCCATATCCAAATCATTTCAGTCCTTTTAGGACACTTCATTAAATAATAATCGATACGTAATTTAAGGCAGATGGCCACGTCAAAGCAAAGCCGTGCAGAACTCAGCGTGGTTGATGTCGGCTGAGGTTCGGGAGACTCAGAGGCGAAGGTTAGACCTGGTTCTGGGAACGTCATTTGAAACCGCAGGCCAGGGACTGGGTGTTCTGCTGTCTTTGGGCCCCGGGAGCTACCGGTGCAGACGGAGCTTGTCCTCACCCACAGTTACAGCTGTCACCGGGAGGAGTGGGCAGATGCCCCGGCCGCGAGGTGGGGCGTCTGTAGCCCCTGGAGGGCGCCCCCGAGGAGGGAGGGACGTGTGTGCGGGGTCGCCCGCTCCAAGCCCATCCCTCTGCTTCCTCTTCCTCCCACTGGTCTGATGATGGCAAGTCAATGACTTAAAGCGTTTAGAGAGCAGGTCGAGCGTCCTTCGTCTGCCTCTTGGAAGTGTGTGATTGCTTTAAAGAAATGATTTTCGAGACGAGGAATTCGTTTTCTCATGGTTTGGGGATCGCATCAGAGAATTCTCCTAATGAAGATCGTCCCGACCAGAACAGGCCAGGGAGTGACCTGCGCTGGCCTCTGGGAAGAGGAACTGAGGCAGAGGCCGTGGGTGCAGGGCACCAAAGAGGCAGAGGCCGCCCTGGCCGCGGCGTGCTGCGTGGGCGAGGGCTTGGGCCGAGGGGCCGATGGCATGAGCAACACCCGGACCGCTTATGCTGCTTTTCTGGAAACCTCCAGACAGAAGTTGGCTCCCCTGGAAGGCTGCTCACTACGGCTGCGTCAGCTACACGCACTGAGACCCCTCAGACCCGGGGGAGCCTTAGCCTGGCGGAGCTTCGGGGCCGGGCTCTGGCGCCTGGCCCGCCTCCGTACCACGGCTCTGTCCGCGGAGGGCCGGGCAGGTCACAGGACCCCAGGACCCAGTGCCTGGACGTCCACTCGCCCCCTGCAGCCTCGGCCTCAGCCTCTGATGCTTCTCGGTGCAGAGCAGTCGTGATGCGGGGAGCATCTTCGGCTGCAGCTTCCCACGTGGCCCCGTGGGGGCCCGACGGCCGAGCCCGTGGACTCGCGTGGACGTGGGTCAGTTCCTGTTTCCCTTTGCCCTGTCTGGGGAGACACGTGCATCTTTTCTGGGCCCCTGGGCCCCTCGTGCACGTGTGGACGGCAGCCCCTGCCCTCCGCGTAGCTGGCATCGGGGGTGGGAGGCGGGGGCCGGCCTCGGGCGGTGTGAGTGCTTCGCTCTGGCCGCCCCTTCGGGCTTCCGAGCGCCCTGAGCCCCCGGGC